GTGTGTCTACTTTTTGAAATCATTAATATGATCAAATGAAATCCACGTGTATAGATATAAACACCTGTCGGTCGTATATTCGAAGTATCCAGGAAAGAACGTATGCGTCATCACCATCCTCGGGTTAAAATATAACCTAACCCTACAAAGTGTTTTTTTTTCAAGTAGTATCTGTACAATATACTCAAACGTTAGTGTTCACGTTTTAATGGCAATTTCTTATATTAGCGTGTCAATGTCGACGTCAGATAAGTCTCGAATATTGGAACCTGTTGTTATCATGTCATGAATCTCGCTGTCTCCATCTTCAACATACAGTATAGCCTTATAATCAACCTCTCTATCTATATCATGTAAGTTGTTGTTGTCGTTGCTGTTGCTGTTGTTGTTGGTGTTGTTGCTGCCGCACTCAGCAATATTACAGCTAAATGACGGCGGACAGTACATAATCGAATCTGGACCAGACAATCCAGCCATTAACATCATGAGCATCGATCTGCACAACGGGTCTACGATGACATCAACCAAGTCAGCAAGTCTCCTCTTCAACAAGCAGGGCAGTGGGGTGGCCTAGTGGTTAAAGCGTTCGCTCGTCACGCCGCAGACCCGACAGGTTCGATTTCCCACATGGGTACAATTTGTGAAGCCCATTTCTGGCGTCCCCCGCCGTGATATTGCTGGAATACCATACTCAGTCAGTCAGTCCAACAAGCATGGGTTGCTGAAGGCCATTTCTAACCCTGACCTTCATGGGTACTATAAGTTACAATGAAGCCATATGTCGATAAATATGGATTAATGTAGCTATGCATCCTCTCAAATGAACAATCTCTCAAAAAGCAGGTCTCACGTTGTGTCATGTAGCTTATGACAGACAGCCGTTGGCGTCATGGTGATAAACACGAAACAGTGTTATGTCAAAAATAAATCACAGAATGTTCATGGACAAGATTCGTGGACGCTGCACTGGAAATGATACCTAAGTTGGGTACATTCCTGTGCCGGTAGGGGTTCTTGTCCAAACAAAGACCTCTACCCCTCTGCTTGATACCCCCGAATAGCGTTAGCATTAAACTATTTCAAGATAATCCCACGACTTTAACTTTTATAGTATGGAATATGTTTGATGTGGAACGGTGTTATTGAAAGGTTCTTGTCAACCTCACACGACTCACACAAATTGTTACACGACTTGGTTATTTCATTTGACTCTACATTCACAGGTCCCTTCATAGTGAGGTGGGGTCTCTGTTGTATGAAGGTACCTTCATAGTGAGGTGGGGTCTCTGTTGTGTGATGGTCCCTTCATAGTGAGGTGGGGTCTCCGTTGTGTGATGGTCCCTTCATAGTGAGGTGGGGTCTCAATTGTGTGATGGTTCCTTTATAGTGAGGTGGGGTCTCTGTTGTGTGATGGTCCCTTCATAGTGAGGTGGGGTCTCCATTGTGTGATGGTCCCTTCATAGTGAGGTGGGTCTCCGTTGTGTGATGGTCCCTTCATAGTGAGGTGGGGTCTCTGTTGTGTGATAGTCCCTTCATAGTGAGGTGGGGTCTCCATTGTGTGATGGTCCCTTCATAGTGAGATGGGGTCTCCGTTGTGTGATGGTCCCTTCATGAGTGAGGTAGGGTCTCCGTTGTGTGATGGTCCCTTCATAGTGAGGTGGGGTCTCCGTTGTGTGATAGTGAGGTTCTCTTTGTGATGGTCCCTAGTGAGGTGGGGTCTCTGTTGTGTGATGGTCCCTTCATAGAGGTGAGGTGGGGTCTCAATTGTGTGATGGTCCCTTCATAGTGAGGTGGGGTCTCCATTGTGTGATGTCCCTTCATAGTGAGGTGGGGTCTCCGTTGTGTGATGGTCCCTTCATAGTGAGGTGGGGTCTCCATTGTGTGATGGTCCCTTCATAGTGAGGTGGGGTCTCTGCTGTGTGATGGTCCCTTCATAGTGAGGTGGGGTCTCTGCTGTGTGATGGTCCCTTCATAGTGAGGTGGGGTCTCCATTGTGTGATGGTCCCTTCATAGTGAGGTGGGGTCTCTGTTGTGTGATGGTCCCTTCATAGTGAGGTGGGGTCTCTGTTGTGTGATAGTCCCTTCATAGTGAGGTGGGGTCTCTGTTGTGTGATGGTCCCTTCATAGTGAGGTGGGGTCTCCGTTGTGTGATGGTCCCTTCTTAGTGAGGTGGGGTCTCTGTTGTGTGATGGTCCCTTCATAGTGAGGTGGGGTCTCCGTTGTGTGATGGTCCCTTCATAGTGAGGTGGGGTCTCTGTTGTGTGATAGTCCCTTCTTCATAGTGAGGTGGGGTCTCCGTTGTGTGATGATCCCTTCATAGTGAGGTGGGGTCTCTCATTGTGTGAAGGTCCCATTCAAAGTGAGGTGGGGTCTCTGTTGTATGATACCCTTCATAGTGAGGTGGGGTTCTCTGTTGTGTGATCCCTTCATAGTGAGGTGGGGTCTCTGTTGTGTGAAGGTCCCATTCATAGTGAGGTGGGGTCTCTGCTGTGTGATAGTCCCTTCATAGTGAGGTGGGGTTCTCTGTTTGTGTGATGATCCCTTTATAGTGAGGTGGGGTCTCAATTGTGTGATGGTCCCTTCATAGTGAGGTGGGGTCTCTGTTGTGTGAAGGTTCACCTGGGTTCTCTGTAGTGAAGGTGGTGGGGTCTCCGTTGTGTGATAGTCCCTTCATAGTGAGGTGGGGTCTCTGTTGTGTGATAGTCCCTTCATAGTGAGGTGGGGTCTCTGTTGTGTGATGATCCCTTCATAGTGAGGTGGGGTCTCCGTTGTGTGATGGTCCCTTCATAGTGAGGTGGGGTCTCTGTTGTGTGATAGTCCCTTCATAGTGAGGTGGGGTCTCCGTTGTGTGATGGTCCCTTCATAGTGAGGTGGGGTCTCTGTTGTGTGATAGTCCCTTCATAGTGAGGTGGGGTCTCTGTTGTGTGATGGTCCCTTCATAGTGAGGTGGGGTCTCTGTTGTGAATTGTGTGAAGGTCCCTTCATAGTGAGGTGGGGTTTCTGCTGTATGATGGGGTCTCCATAGTGAGGTGGGTTCTCTGTGTGTGAAGGTCCCTTCATAGTGAGGTGGGGTCTCTTCATTGTGTGATGTCTCCTTCATAGTGAGGTGGGGTCTCCGTTGTGTGATGGTCCCTTCATAGTGAGGTGGGGTCTCCGTTGTGTGATGGTCCCTTCATAGTGAGGTGGGGTCTCTGTTGTGTGATGGTCCCTTCATAGTGAGGTGGGGCCTCCGTTGTGTGATGGTCCCTTCATAGTGAGGTGGGGTCTCTGTTGTGTGATGGTCCCTTCATAGTCAGAGTGAGGTAGGGTCTCCGTTGTGTGATGGTTTCTTCATAGTGAAGTGAGGTCTCTGCTGTGTGATGGTCCCTTCATAGTGAGGTGGGGTCTCAATTGTGTGATGGTCCCTTCATAGTGAGGTGGGGTCTCATTGTGTGATGGTCCCTTCATAGTGAGGTGGGGTCTCCGTTGTGTGATGGTCCCTTCATAGTGAGGTAGGGTCTCCGTTGTGTGACAGTTTCTCCATAGTGAGGTGAGGTCTCTGCTGTGTGATGGTCCCTTCATAGTGAGGTGGGGTCTCTGTTGTGTGATGGTCCCTTCATAGTGAGGTGGGGTCTCCATTGTGTGATGGTCCCTTCTTAGTGAGGTGGGGTCTCTGTTGTGTGATGGTCCCTTCATGATGTGTGAGGTGGGGTCTCTGTTGTGTGATAGTCCCTTCATAGTGAGGTGGGGTCTCTGTTGTGTGATGATCCCTTCATAGTGAGGTGGGGTCTCCGTTGTGTGATGGTCCCTTCATAGTGAGGTGGGGTCTCTGTTGTGTGATAGTCCCTTCATAGTGAGGTGGGGTCTCCGTTGTGTGATGGTCCCTTCTTAGTGAGGTGGGGTCTCTGTTGTGTGATAGTCCCTTCATAGTGAGGTGGGGTCTCTGTTGTGTGATGATCCCTTCATAGTGAGGTGGGGTCTCAATTGTGTGAAGGTCCCATTAAAGTGAGGTGGGGTCTCTTGTGTGAAGGTCCATGTGATGATAGCCCCTTCATAGTGAGGTGGGGTCTCATAGTTGTGTGAAGGTCCCATTAAAGTGAGGTGGGGTTTCTGCTGTGGGATAGTCCCATTATAGTGAGGTGGGGTCTCCTTTGTGTGATGATCCCATTATAGTGAGGTGGGGTCTCAATTGTGTGATGATCCCATTATAGTGAGGTGGGGTGTCTGCTGTGTGAAGGTACCTTCATAGTGAGGTGGGGTCTCCGTTATGTGATAGTCCCTTCATAGTGAGGTGGGGTCTCTGTTGTGTGATAGTCCCTTCATAGTGAGGTGGGGTCTCCGTTGTGTGACGGTCCCTTAAACCTTTTAATCTGGAAGTAAAAGGTTAAATTCAGAATATATTTTCAAGATTTTCTTACAGCATGTCATATAACAGAGGTCCGATTTTAACATTGAAATCAGTGGCCGCTGACAGACACACACACACACACACATGAATAACACACACACACTCTAATACACTCAGGAAATACATATAAGTACATATACGTACACACATAGATGCATACAAACATATACATATACACATGTATTCATATATTCATATACGTGTATATGTAAACGACCATAATAAATCGTTCGTAAATAGCTTATTGTCAGTTTCAACTGTTTACAAACCTGTCACTATTCTCTCTGTCAGAAGCTTGTGAGAGTGACCCTGTGATAGTGTGTTGTAAATGTACCTGACATTGAGGGTACGTGCGTCATAGCTAAGCGAGTATAGCTAGGCTACCTCAAAGTGTTTAGTGGTAGGTACACTTTCTCCACCAGTTAACCCGTTGCCACATATCTTTTCACGACTCAAAGAGAACCCCCACCGTCGCTGTAACTATGTTCAACATAAGAGCGGAAACAGTGCATGTCTAGAAACATTTGATGACAATTCAGCTGGATTTTTTAAAACCACCACCTAATGAATGATTGAGTTCATGGCTTACCAGCATGTGTTAAGTGCGAGATATATAGCGATATTCACCAACACGCCCGTTGCTAACAATAATATGCCACCCTGTCATCCAACCCCTTTCACTCGCCTGGCGGCATGGAACGACCGGCAGTTGTAACTCTCCCGTCAGCTGACCCCCTTCATAACTTAGCGACGGGTCGAAGCTTGAAACTTGGGTCAGGCTATTTACCAATATTGGTTGTGTGTCGGCTGACGAAGCCGGACGTCTCGCTACCCGCTCCACTCCCCAATAGCCACCACCCCTACCCACGGGCTCCGACTCGTCACTTGTGTGAGAGACAGTGACAGACAGTGTTATTACATAGCCGCATTGTGTTGGAAGTTCATACCGACGCTTCGCTGGATTAGGCTGAGTAATTTGACAAGTTATTTCACTGGCGAGTATTGTCACTGTTATACGGAGCTACAAGAACCCGAAAGGGAATAACAGTGTATTCATATCAAGTGTATAGCCTTAGTATCTGGACAATATGAATTTGTCGCCTAGTCGCTTTCTGTTTACACATGTGTCATGACTTTAACTGGGGATTACCGTGGCTTATTCTACCTGTGTGCTGAAGACCCGTGTGTCGTGTGATCGGTGCCTGAACCTACCTGTCACCAGTGTGTCGTGCTGTCGGTACACACGGGAACATACAGAGGCTTCTAACTTCGATTCCAGTTTATTGAGAATTAGTCCAGCAACGCGATGGTGTGCCTAATGACCACAGAGTATCCTCAATCAAACCAATAACTGTCAGACAAGATTGATAGACCAATATCAACATGAGGCCACAGTCGGCATCGGCGTTGTTGCGGGGACCACCGCTGTGCCTGAGTGACGTCATGAAGATGGGGTACCTACAGCAGGTGCGTGACCTTGTGGACCTCGGCATGAACATCGACAGTAGGGACGTGGAGGGTAAGACCCCGTTGATGTTGTGCGCGTTGATGGAGCCACAGTCTTGGGGAATCGGGATATCCAGACATCTTATAGAAAATGGGGCCAATTTGACTCTGAGGGATAAGGCGGGTTTAAACGCCTTGCATTATGCATGTATCTATGAACGGGATGCGTTGGCCAAGGTGTTCCTTCATGCGATTGACTTTGATCTGAACCAAACTGATAAACATGGCAACACAGCTCTACACTACTGTGTCCAGTCGGGGAATGTGGACATGGTGAAGCTTCTTGTGGAACACCTCCGGAGATATGGCTTGTCCTTGGAGAGAGAGAATAGGGCGGGTATAACCGCCCGCAGCCTGGCACAGAAGCTCACCTGGACAGAATGTGTCGAGCTTCTGTCGGATCGTGAGAAAGAGGTTGAGGAGGAGGTAGATGAGAAACAAAAGGAGATTGAGAAATATGAAGTGACAAGCGAGAAGAATGAAATCGACGATACGAGAAGCCAGAAGGATGATACGTGCGGTGTGAGAAGCGATAAAAGTGAAAGTACGAGGTTAGAAGCGAGACGAACGCGAAAGATGAGATAAGAAGAGAGGAGAAGGAAAAGGATGAGTTAAGAAGCGAGAAGAACGAGAAGGATGAGATAAGAAGTGAGAAGGGTGAGAAAGATGAACTTTCGAATGAGAAAAATGAACAGTGTGAGCTGTCAAGTCAGAAAAGTGTTTTGAGTTTGTCACTTACGGAGAGTAACTTGAAGTCATTTTCCGAGGAGGCTTCTTCAATGCGTCAACCTCAGCGTCCCAAGACGGCATTATTGAAACGTCGCCGTACGTCATCAGCAAGTTCAGCTTCCAGTCTCTCATCAGGGGGACGGAGTCAGGCAAGCATGAAGTCCACACCGAGGAACAAGACACCAAAACGATGCCTTTTACCAAACGCAAAGAACGAGGACAGTATAATCAGATGTGTCAGTCTGTCGGATTTCCGCAACACCAAAGAGTACGTGTTTAAGCTGACCGCTGTCCCCTACGACGAACTCGAAATAGAGCGAGGCCTTCCTTCAATCCGGCGACCTCAGTCAGCCTGGACTCCAAGACGGGAGGCTGCATATCAGGCAGACACAGAACCATTCAGTTGGAGAACGGAATTCAAAAAGCTTTATGTTGAATACGAGTTTCAGTGTTCTCCATCTTGGCGTGATGCAGCAAAAACCATTGCAGATCAACTACCACTGACCCCTCCTTCCCCTCTCCCACAACCAGATGAAGCGGAAGAAGACAAAGCCAAGGACAGAAAAGGAAGACGGTCGAGTTTGACAGTTAAAAGTCAGCTTTCCGTGGAATCATTTAAGGACAAACGGCGTCCATCTGGAAACATTAAGCTTCGGAAACTGTCGACGTCTGGAGCTCCCACACCCCACATGAAGGGCGTCGATGGAGCGCTAGCATCCAGCTCCGAATCTCTCAACAGCAGCAACTCCTCCAAGAAAAAAGATGGAGTCCAGTAGTAAAGGTGATATCACTGCAAGCAAGAGCCAGAAAATGACACCGCCTGATAAAGACGTCTTAATGAAAGGCCCTAAGTCGTCGTTGTCGATCCCCGCTGTCACGGAGACGTTGGTAGGAGACACCGATAACGACGAGAACACGTCAGATGACGCGGCATTAACCGACAGCAACCGCCTTTCTGTTCTCAGTGATATAGACGAGGATTCGTAGTATAGGTGTGTAATACAATGTCAATTTCAATGGACTTAATAACACGTTCATCAGCTCTATAGCTGATCGGTTTTAAAACTATTATTTATTTATAGTTTAATGTATTTATCCACAGACGTTCACATGGAGGTGAAACAACATGTCTCTGACGCATTGACGAATTCCTTTTGTGATAAATGTTAACATTTGTGTGTGACCTGCTGCATCTGGCACCATGTGTCATTACTGTAGTCATTGACTGAAGAGAGACTACAAGATACAGGTAGCAGCGCCATCCGTCTTCGTTCTGGTATCCACAAGGAGGTGAGGTGCGGATAAGGTTTATGAATGGTGAAGTTACATGTAATGTTAATCTCCAAGGCCAATGACATCATCTGTGAATGGCTTTCATCTATTTGTGAAACGTTTATCAACTACCTTAGAAATGTTTCTCGTACTGTTATCAACCTCTTATGAAAGGTTTCATGTTCTGTTTTCCATTCCCTAGAAACGTTTACGATACTGTTATCAACTACCTATGAAACGTTTCCTGTACTGTTATCCTATACCTTTGACACATACATACAAATACTTGTATAGCGTCAATACCTTTGGACCGAACACGTTTCCTGTGTTGTTATCCAATACCTATGAAACGTTTCCTGAACTGTTATCCATCTATACCTATGAAACGTTTCCTATAATACTGTTATCCAATACCTATGAAACGTTTCCTGTACTGTTATCAATACCTATGAAACGTTTCCTGTAATCGTTTCCTGTTATCCAATGAACTGTTATCCAATACCTGAACTGTTATCAATACGTTTCCTATACTGTTATCAATACCTATGAAACGTTTCCTGAAAGGTTATCAATACCTATGAAACTTTTCCTATACTGTTATCCAATACCTATGAAACGTTTCCTGTACTGTTATCAACTGTTATCCAAAACCTATCCACTGTTATCAATAAACGTTTCCTGAACTATGAATCGTTTCCTGACGTTTCCTGTACTGTTATCCAATACCTATGAAACGTTTCCTATACTGTTAACGTTTCCTACTGTTATCTTGTTTCCTGAACTGTTATCCAATACCTGTATGTTATCAATACGTATTGTTTCCCTGTATACTGTTATCCCTAAAACGTTTCCTGTACCAATACCTATGAAACGTTTCCTGTACTGTTATCAATACCTATGAATCGTTTCCTGAAAACCGATACCTATGAAACGTTTTCTGAACTGTTATCCAATACCTATGGAACGTTTCCTATACTGTTATCCAATACCTATGAAACGTCTCCTGAACTGTTATCCAATACCTATGAAACGTTGCCTCTGTTGTTATCCACCACTTATCCCCAGAGCATAAATGGACAAAAAATTCTAAAGATAATATCCCCGTGGCAGAAACAAACGTGTAAACGAATTTAATTTGCCTCTACATGTTTGTCCACCAGAGAAGGAGGGAGAAGGAGAAGTTATGCAATGGATACATGCATATGTTATGCATATGTATAAATGTACGAGTATATAACTTAACTATGACTGTTACACCGGTTGAATCTTCTTCATGTTAATTAATCACACACATCTGTGATAATGTTGATATATTGTTCTACATGAAATTATCGTTTTCCGTCAGTATTAACTGTTAATACATAACTGAATAACTATTTTTGTACATGAAATAGACATATAGATACGAAGGATCCAGAAATCCAGAGCTAGTAAATCGTACAAAAGCATCCTGCAGTTTGTTATATTTACTGGCATGTTGAACTGTTATTCATACATTATACTGTGGAGGTGATGGACATGCTACCCAGCTGCCTCTCTCTCCTCCCACACAGTTATAGTGTATTGTTGTACGCCACTCTGTTGTATCTTGTCCTTTCAGGAAGGTTCGAAGTGTCATGTCGCTGACATGTACTGCTATGAAGAAACAAACAAATGTATGGTGTAAACAGACCAATAACAACCGATTAGCCATCATGGGATGGCGATATTGTAATTGACATTTGGAGTTATGTTTTTAAATAGCTTTGTAGAGAACATCGCATTTTGTGAAAGCTACTTCTACCCGTAATGTAGGTGACAGGGACTACGAAATAGTATTGGTGGATATTTAGAAGTGAATATAAGCTTCAGACGTACAAACTAAATTAGTGCCAAAACCAAATGACACTTTTCTTTCCAGTCTCCATTTTACATTCGGATAAAACACATCCATGTAAAAACGTAAAACTATATAAAGGATGTTTATTCGTGTCCTATGACTTTTAATTTAAGTCCTATGATATCTGTGAAGTGAATGAAAACGACTACAAGAATGAACGAAGGCGTATCACATGATCACATTACTGAACGAGTTGGAAGCAGCCTGGAACATAATTTCAGGGAATAAACTGTCACCATCACAGTGAGTATTGTTTTAAGCCTCTTATTCTAACCATATCACGGGGAGGACACCAGAAATGTGTTCCACACATTGTATACATAAGGAGAACCGAACCTGGTGCTAAGGCGTGACGAGCGAACACTTTAACCAGTGGGCTAGTCAACACCTCCGTCAGTATTGTGAATGAAGGAATCTGAACTGTTCCAGCCAGTGTTAGTAATGGGACACATTGGAGGGCAGCAACCCTTCTCTTCCGAATGTGACAAAACTGGCGACCGGTTCACCTGTGTCTCCCATCCTCAGTACTAATGACGACCTACGTCAATATCAGCGTTATGTTTGCAATGATGGATTAGCTACTTGACAAATATTTCATAACATTTGGGAAATAATATTTGAAGATCTAATCAGGTTTATAAATTCATTTTAATTTGTAGCTGATTTGTTTGACTATTCATTGTACACCGCCACATAAGTCGTTATACCTCCACTAGCAGGGCTAGAGGAAATGGGATTCTTTATGTAGGTATGTAAATACATTAGTTTTCCGTTTCCCACTGAATGCGCTGAGAGTGGTAAGCTGAACATATCTGAACGAGGTAACTTGATCTGTTGATTGTTAAAACTCAACCTTCCTTTACCTGCCATTCACTGCGATTTGTTCCCGCGTTCCTTTCTTCAACTCGCTGTGAACAGTACCGAAGCTATAAAAATCAGTGGGTGGAACCAGTCAGCATGTAAACAAACACCAACATTGCCTGTGTACATATAATTGTTGTTGGTGAGTCTTTCAGTATCACAGAGTGACACGACCAGGCTAATGGTGTGTTTCTAACTTCGCTGCTATACACATGTGCCTTCTTAAAAGTAATTGTCCCGGTGTAATGTGTCGGGGTCAGGGCGACGAATCCAGCCCAGTGAAACCACACTGTATATATGTTATGTACAGAGTCAACAAGTTAAGTGACATTATCATATCATATGACAATAAGCGCAAGATTTAGAGACAGGAGAGCTAGAACATTTAAGATTTCAATTCTCCTCTGCCAAGGTTTGAGATAGAGGAGTTCCTTTAAAATATAGAGTAAATCCGCTTTTGTTAGGACCTCATTTAACTGGACACTGCACTTCCCGAATGAATACCTGCGAAATATGGAATATATATGTATAAGATTGTACATCCGTGATTCAACAGTTCGTTGGAAAGGGAAAGAGTTCATATTAAACTAAGTCTTCATATTAGATTTCCGTGTACAGCACTGTGCAGGAGAACGTGGTACCTGTATCAGGTAGTCGTGACTCTCAATCAAGGTAAGTAGCTGAGTGTGGCAGGTAAGCAGTCTCTGATCCGGGTGGACAGGAAGGGAACGTGATTGAAAACCTGGGGTTCTAATCAACACGCTTAGCCTACCAACAAATGCCGCTTTCTGAAGCAAAAACTACATTCATTGTGACTTAATGGACCGAGATAAGACATAAATACATTATATGGCGACGTCGTCCCTGCACCTAAGCCGACACTAGCAACACAGTGTGTGTTGGTGTCGAGATAAATTACTGTCTGTCTGTTAAACCAACCAAATAAATGAATCGCAGTCATGTAAGTTAATATGTGATTTCAGGAGTGTGGGTGAAATTGGGTGTCAAACTCCATCAGCCTATGTCGGTGATCCCATCCCTTCTCTACGCGGGCTTAAAACGTCAGGTATATATTAAACGTGATATAAAATACCTGCCTCGCTTTGATCCGACTAAATTACGATAGTAATATCAAAAGAGCGACCGAAGTCGTGTGATGTCTAACGTCTCATTCTGCTAGGTGAGACGTCGTGTTCAATATGTGTAGTTGGGCTGGAGTGTGGCAGTGGGATTTCACGTGGGACGTTATTGGAAGGTTTGGACATGAATAAAATATTTATAATCCAAAGGAAAAGCATTAATTACAACATATTTCTTGGTTTTAATAACATACACAGGACATTCTGTGCCACGAAACTCAGTATGTCAGCATGTGAGTGTTTTGTTGATGTTTCGTTGCGTTGTCACTGTGTGACTGGGAAACAGCAAACACATCCAACACAAACAGGACAGACACATGACACATTTACTGGACATATACTTTTCGTACACCCTGCACAGGTGTGCCCCATGTGTTCACGAATCCGTGTGTGCCCCCATATCCCTGTGTATCCTCCACAAACGCCCAGTGTGTACCTGTTTGTACCCCATGTGTTCCTGTGTATCCTCCGGTCGTTCCTCGTGAGCCCCTGTGTATTCTCCTTGTGTGCCCGTCTGTGAACCTATGCTTTCCCCGCCTGTGCCCAATGTGTACAGGTGTATCAATTCAATACATGTATATCCCGTCTGAACCGGTCTACGGTCAGTGTAGGCACATTGAGTACCTGTGTACCTGTGTACCTAAGTGTTGCTGTGTATCCTCCGTGTCCCCCGTGTGTACCTGTGTATCATCTGTATCATCTGTGTATCACCCTGTGTCTGTCCTATACATAGTTCCAGTGTATTTCTACGTCTGTCCAGTGTGTGACCTCAGTGTACCTCAGAGTGTTCTCGCTGTTCTAGCCCCACTGTGTGTGCGGTGTATGTTCCTAAACGTGTGACGTGTTGATTGTCGCTATCTACGACTCTGGTGCCCCTCCACCCTATATCCGACATAAATCACCACTCACTAGGTTTTATATATGTGTATTTGATATATGTGTATTTGATAACACGAAAACTACATATGTACTGCCTGACCGAGGAATGTCTACATGGAGAACCAACAGACGTGTAGGTATGTGGTCAGTGTAAAAGTCCTATTTGAGTTGGATTTGAATAAGACAACAAATGGGAATGTCCACAGTGAGAATAACAAGGTGCGCAGTAAGGTGGTGAGAAGCTGACCTGCCCTGTTAATTCCTCCAGCAATTCTCCAATTTAGATGGGGGAAAAATAAGTCTGTTGGACTTTAAGACACAATGGAACTGCTTTAGTTGTTACACAAGAATTTGCAAATCCAATTTCACATGATTGTATGTAATTTACAAACCCTCCACTCACTTGTCATGGACCTTCCGTTTCCATTCCGTAACCTATTATTTGTTGGTGCCACTATAATATTATTTAACTAGGTGTCTTCAGGCCGAGTGGTACAAAGCCATATAGAGAGTCATCGACATGAGAGACCATCCCCTGTCTGTTGTAGTCTGGCCACGTCATCACCTGACCGCAAGGCGCGTAGCAATCCCACTCTTGTCGTGTAAGCCCGATAGGTTGCAAAGCTTTATATTTTGATGGTATTGAGGGCTTGCCCAACATTTTTAGCAACAATCATGTGTAAGCCCGGGCTTTTTTTATA